TATATATATTATTTTTTTTCCTTTATAACAGGAGAAGACGATGTCGTCTCCCACGCTCGGCACTGCTAGGGTTTCGACCCATGTCGAACCCTAGCAACCCTTATCGCATAAGACCTTCTCCGGCGTTGTCTCTTGTCCTCTCCATTCTCTGTCCTCTCCATCGTCGTCGGCTCGTGCTGCTTCGACGTCGACTGCGGCTCGGGTCTGCGACATTCGAAGCCAACAGAGTCGTCTCCATTCGATTTCGCCAATTCACATCTCACGGAAGACGAGAAGAGGTCACGGCTTCATCTTCCTCCTTTGTCTCGAGTGCTCGTCTTCCTCCTTTGTCTTCCGTCTGCGACATTCGAAGCCAACAGAGTCGTCTCCGTTCGATTTCGCAAATTCACATCTCATGGAAGACGAGAAGAGGTCACGGTTTCATCTTCCTCCTTCGTCTCGAGTGCTCGTCTTCCTCCTTTGTCTTCTTCTTGACTCAACTCGACAGCATCGGGCGTTTGGTCTCATCGGTTCCTGACCGTCTTCGGCACGTCATTCCTGCGCTCTGACTGACTTGGAAGAGCTTCTAATTGTTGTGATGGAGCTTCCTTCTTCTACAGTTGAACTTGGCAAAGCCTCCTTTGCCCATGTGGTGGGTAATCCTCAAATGGAGACAGCAGTTGTTTTCCCCTCAAGTTATAAGAAATATCGTGATGGTACAGGTGAATACTCATTTATTAAGAATGCAAGTAGGACAAGTGGGAAAGTAGCACACTTTTTCTCGGAGTTAGAAATTTCAACCCTGACCGACAAATTCAAGTTTGCTCTTATTGAAAAATTTCCGTGGGGGCACCCACCTATGGAAGTTATCAGGAAAAGTTTTGAAGATCTCAAATTAGCAGAAAAGTGGAAAGTTGGGCTCTTTGATTGGAGATATGTATTGATTCAATTAATCGTGGTTAAAATTTTGATGATCTCAAATTAGCAGAAAAGTGGAAAGTTGAGCTCATGGATTGGAGATATGTATTGATTCAATTAACCGCGGCTGAAGACTACACTGGGATTTTCTTCAAAAAAATGCCTCAGCATTGCTGGTAAATCAATGAAGCTACTCAAGTGGTCTCCTGATTTTAACCCCAATCATGAACCTCCTACTATATCGGTATGGTTCAGTCTACCAGGTTTCAAGCTGCACTTTTTTCATCATCAGGTTCTTTACTCTATCAAGGTCATACTTGGGGACGTCATACTAGGGGACCCTATGAAGCTAGATCTCCCGACTTTCAACCTAACAAGACCTTCTGTGTCCAGAATACTTGTGAAAAGAGATATTATTTTACCTGTTGTTACTGAAGTCTGGTTGGGCACAACTCATAATGGATATTGGCAACAAATCGTCATGGAGTATAGACCGTCTTACTGTTCTTATTATAATATGTTTGGGCATACACTTTATAGACCATCTTACTGTTCTTATTATAAGATGTTTGGGCATACACTTGATAAATGTCATAAGTTTCATCCTAATTTGAAATCTAAAGATCAAGTGAATAAGAATGGATCTAATCCCACTACTCTGGACATATCTGCTCCATCTGAAGAGAAAGCTACCACAGTACAGGTTTTAGATATCGCTAAAGATCAGGCACCTACCATCCCTGCTAAGGATATCGCTAAAGATCAGGCACCTACCATCCCTGCTGAGAATGTGCAAATCAATTCTCTACCCAACATCGCAGTTCCTGATGAAGAACAGCATACTACAAGAACAGATCCAAAAGTGTTTATACCGTACCCAACATCGCAGTTCCTGATAAAGAACATCATATTACAAGAACAGATCCAAAAGTGCTTATACCGCTCACTATCACTGTTATTGAAGAAAACTCACTTACATGCCAAGACACACGAGAATGCTTCTTTGATTTGACACGCTTTAGACTAATCCACTGATCAGACGAGCCAATCTTCAAGCAGTTATTTCTAATGTTCAACATCCTACACATGTATGACACGAGATGAGGAATGGCAGGTCTATTCCAGGAGGAAGAAAACTGGAGGCCGACTCGAGCTTGGAAATGAGCTTGGAAACTTATTAGATGATACTTTGGTCACTACTGGCAATGGCACTCATCTTATCAATTTATTAGCTGGCTCCTTTCCAGAACTAAAGGTAGAGAGAAAGCAAAATTGGGTCGCTCTCTAGCTATCTGATACTACGTTTTTTTGGCATTTTTTTACTTTTTTTCTTTAGGTCTCTTGTAATTATCTGTATTTTATCTTTTTTTGGAATAATTTGTATGTGATGGTTATCTTGGGGGAAGGGTGTCATGTTTGAGCCCTTTCACACAATCTATATGTATCCTTATTTCCTTTTAATATATTAGCCTTTATATGTGTGTGACTTTTACTGCAGAATACTTTGTGTTACAAGGGATGATAAAAATAATAAAGGTTATGCTAAGTGTTTATGTATAATAGGATTAAAGGTTAAGCAAATAAATTTAATTATAATTTATTTATAAAAGTAAATTAAAATTTTAAATTTATAAGATAAAAAACATATTTGTAATTAGCATTAAATAAAAACATTAACATATATCAATTAAAAAAGACAAAACAGTAATAATTTTTACTTTCAATTCAGTTCTAAAAATAATGGCATGCATAATGCGATAGTTAAAAATTATTTGAAATATTTGTTTTAAAATTTAAATTACTTCTCTTATATTCAAATTTAAAGGTAAGGATTTCATAATCTGATGGTTGGTGATTGAATGGCTTATCAAATTCAAAACTTTAAAATTTAAAGTTCAACATTTATTATATTTGAGTTTGAAAGTATGAAATGTCCGATATGATAGACAGGATTAACGTATTTGAAAAATTCAAAATCAAAATCAAAATTGTACCATGTGGTAGCCCTATAATGCAGTAAGTGTGAGCTTATGCTTACATGTAGACTAATTTAGTTTACGTGTGAATATATGCATCTATGTATTTACACACCCACACAGATTAATGGAAGAGAAGAAAAAGACATGAAGGAGAGAAGCACGTAGGATTATGGCAATAGTGCTAAAACTAATAAAAGCTCGAAAATGACTAGCGAAAAAATGAAATATTATCCAAGAGCATAACAAGAAAATCAATTTGATCAGAAAAGAACTACAAAAAGGAGACATTTCTTTCCCACCAAAATAAAATGAGATGAAAGGAAGAGCACACCCTATAAAGTGAGAAAAAAAAAACATTGTAGAAAGGGAAAAAAAATGATGCTCTAATGTTTACAAAAATGTATCTTCTAACATTACCGCGGGAGCCTACTCATATACTATGATAAAAACATCCAAATAAACGACAGAAAGTCCAAGGAACATAATTAAGGTTATTTGCATAATGTCAGAAGAATATAACCAAGCAAAGCTGCATGGTTATGCCATACATCGTATTACTATTCTATGTCATTGATATAACATTATCAGATACGAAAAATAAGATAAACATATCAGAAATTAAACTGAGAGGTTAACAAAAAAACGTTTAATAACTAACAAAACTTCAAAAACCCAACATCATTTCAGAGGCGCTCAAATGCAAAATAAAATGCAAGTGTAAAGGCATTATAAAAATTCATATTTAATCAGCATCTACCTTTCCTGACGCACAAAGCTGATAAAAACAGTGGTAGTTTCTTTCCCGGTCACTAATTTGAACAACACGAGATCTCTCCAAAAGATAAGTTCTAATTGCAGCACCAGATATCCTACCATTTGCGTTAAACTGGATTTCTACAAATTTTCCAAAACGACTTCACACAAGAAAAACAAGTATTAGCATTCAAACTCATCCGCAATTCTGTGAAAAAAAAAAAAATAGTTGAAATGCATCAGTACAAGAGAACCAGTAGTACAATATCACGAAGCATCAAAATAGTGCAAGTTGCAATTAACTAAGCAAGTGTCCATGGTGGGATGGATGTATATCCAGTACTTTGAAACAACCATTATACTTGAATGATTAGGAAACACACAAATTGATACCTGAGTTAAACCAAACCTCAAAAGAAATGCAACATTAATTCTGAAATTCAAATTGGTTACAATGATGACTCTTGAAATCAGGAATTAATGAAAAAAACACAGCAACACTAGGACATAACAACAAAGGACACAACACATAAATCCTAACTAGGGCTAAGGCGAAGGTGGCGGTTCAGTAGCAGGGAGGAGGGGGTGGCTGCGTTTAAGTTCACACAGGAAGTCTGATCAGCTAGGTGGCATAGGAAGGGGGATTGGGAGAGAAGAGGTTGCTGCAAGTTATGGTACGGAGAAATCCGAAGAGGAGGGCTTGTTGCAGGTTACTGCGGGAAGAAACAGGAAGGGTATGTTGAGCGGCAATATTGGATGGCTTAAGGACTTGAGCGGCTGCAGGTGTAGGGCAGCTAAAAGCAAGAAAGGGAGATTGCGGAGAGGAATTGGGAAAGATAGATATCCCCGCAGGATCGAGCTACAGTCGGAGTACCACCGAGATCGTTGGAGAAGATCACCACGTCAAACGTGTTATAGTTGGAGTACCTTCTCACCATCCAATAAGGACCTAGGCATAGAGGAAAACTTGAAGGGAGAAATCTGAAATTAGAGACAACAAAAACTAAACCATAAGATAGCAAACAACATATTTATAATAACTAGATCGGGTGAGGCGGCAGCCTCTACCCTTACAAGAACTAGCTGATCCAGCCTCCCTGCTGGACTTAGTCCATCCCTATTATTAAATCGCCAGTTCAGGCCAAGCAAGACCCGCTTCAGTCTCCTAGTGTTGGGGAGCTTTAACCTCATTCGTTGAATCTTATGTCTGCCCATTATGAGCGTCGGAGTCGTTGTAATCTCCTAGAGCTGAAGGAACTTCTACTGTGGTACGGAAAGCACCTGGATTCCACAGGCGAACGCACTACCCCCCAAAGTACCAGAGGAGTTTTCTCAACTTGTGAGCATGCTTCAATATCAATCCACTCTTTTGGGGGCTCACTATTGATCTAAGTCGGGCCTGCGTGACAGTCGAATCCTCTCAAAATAGCCCAAAGTTAGCTCAACTAGAACTGAAGTGAGGATAGCCTAAACCTCCCAGAGTGGTGATGGACCTGGTGGAGAGTTATCGATCATGATATCCTGAAATGCTCTCTGTCGTTATTGTCTCGTGTCTGGAGCCAGAGTCTTCGTCCTATCATCTTTTTTTTTTCACCAAAACTTATCCCACCGATGTTGTCGTGTTGGTAAGGGCACCTATGATCGTGGGCTCAGTCAAAGAGAGAAGGATGATGCGCACCTTATCCTTAGTTAAAGTCAAAGAGAGAAGGATGATGCGCACCTTATCCTTGGTGGAGTAGGTGTTTGTATATCCGTCGTGTTGAGTCCTGCAGTCAAATTGTTGTGATCGGTCCAACAACAAATGGCAGGCATCCATTGGTACCACTTCACACAACACCTGATCCTGCAACCGGCTCCTAATCAAAAGCACCACTAGGCACCTCGGGTCAATCCTGATGCTATTCTCTTTCTTCAACAACGTCAGATAATACGTATTGGAGTGCCTCTGAGTCAAAAGGGCCAACTACTCCAGTCAATCCTGATGCTATTCTCTTTCTTCAACAACGTAAGATAATACGTATTGGAGTGCCTCTGACTCAAAAGGGCCAACTACTCCATCTGTGTAGAAACCACGTCCTTACTGCTCCCTCCATTAATAATGAGACAGCACAAATTCACATTCACAGTGCAAAGAGTGTAGAATATATTGTGAGAAAGCCACTATAAATCTCTCGTATCATATGCTGTAGGACCTGTCGAACCACGACCATCTCACATTCATCTGGTGGAAGATGATGCACCTCACCCTATTCTTACTTGTCTCCTCATCGCTAACCTCCTCCACAACGCCCTGCTAGGTAAAAGGCACAACTCGACTCGTGGAGCAACTGGAGGGGATCTGCCCAAATCAGTGGTATCTGAAATTTTTTCTAGCGGAGCTGTAGTAGGCATGCTACTCTTCTCTGGCTTTTTCTCATTGGGAGTGGCTATATCCTTATCTGAATCAATTTTCTCAACTTCCTAAGGCGTGATCCTGCTATTGTCCAACTATGGGTGGTTGTCTAGCTAGTGTTGATTGCCTGCCCTATTTTCATTGTCTTTCCAGTTTCAATGCTAAGATCTGAATATCTCCAAGTGACCAATAAGGATGTAGCTGCACCACATTACAAATAACGGGCTTCAGACCCCCCAAATAACTGGTTATGGTGTGTTGCTTTGGCTCGACCAAATCACACTTCATCTACAGCTGGTCAAACTGCGCTATAAACTTTTTCACAGATATGTCTCCCTGCTGCAGATGGTGGAGTCTCAGAAACATATTCGAACGGTAGTAAAAAGGTAGGTATTTTCTCTGCAACGCCTTCTGCAACTTTTCCACTTGGTAATCTTATCAATGTCTTCTCTCTTCAAGTTGTCCCATCATAAAGAGCCACTTTTTCTCAATTTGATAGCCGCAAGTTTCACCCTTCTATCTTTTGGCACCTTTTTGTACTCAAAGATCCGCTCAACTAATTGTAATCATTTGAAAAAGTCGTTTGGATTATACCTCCATCAAACACTAATAGATCCAACTTTATTTTGTAGTCCATGTGTCCTCCATTCAAAAAATCCTCTCGCGGCTTCCTCTAATATTGCATTGCAATGCATTGTGTCCTTTTCTTCATCATTGAAATCTTCATTATGGAAGGAGTTGAAATTCTCATCTTTTTCATCTCTTTGACTTTCTCCTGACACCAACGAGCGTAAGTCCACCATGGGTTTCATCCTCAATGTGTGCAAACCTCCGCTGAAGTCGACGAATCTCTCATTTCATCTCTTTCCGGATAGGCTCGGGCAAGTATCTCCTTAGTAGCATGGCTAGAGTTTAAAGTTGGGAGGTGACATGGGGTATAAAAAATTGATTTAAGGCTATTGATTTTGAAAATAAGTGAGAAGAAATCAGGGTTAAGTCAAAGTTTCGATAAAATTTGGGAATAGGTAAAAAAAAATTTTATGAATGGGGTGAGGCCGATGCTAGAAAACCCTATAATAAGAGTAGAATTAGACTGACTCTGATACCACATGATATCGGAGTTAATCCAAACAACAAAATAAATACAATATTAATTATAAAATTCAAACAAGTTACAATAACAACACTTGAGAAAAGAAATTAACGACACAAACACAACAACATTAGGACATAACTACAATGAACGCAACACATAGACCCCAATTGGGCTAAGGTGAACTTAGCGGTTGAGTAGTAGGGAGGAAAGGGTAGTTGCGGTTAAATACAAAGAGAAGGTTGATCGGCTTGGTGGAGTGAGAAGTCGGGTGTGGAAGAGAAGAGGTTTTTGCAGGTTACTGTACGGAGCAATTGGAAGAGGAGGGCTAGCTACAGGTTACAGCAGGGAGAAACATGAATGGAAGGTTGGGCGGCAATGCTGGATGGTTGAGGACTTGGATGGCTGCAGGTGGAGGTTTGGGTGGCGGGCAGCTGAAAGCAATGCAGGGAATTGGGGCTAGCGGCCCGAAATAGAGAAAGGGGACTGTGGAGGAGCGTTAGGAATGATAGATATCCCTACAGAATTAAGCTGGGATCCTGTGGAGGAGCGTTAGGAATGATAGATATCCCTACAGGTATAAGCTGTAGCCAAAGCAGCATTCGGATCCTTAGAGAATGTCATCACCTCGAACGAGTTACAGCTAGAGCACCTTCTCACCGTCGAAAACAGTTTTAGAAAGGGAGGTATGGCCAGAGGCAGAAATCTAAAATCAGAAACAGCAAAAACTGAAACCTAAGATAGCAAAATCAAGCTTATGAACTATTTTCCAATACAATGTGGATCAGACCAATCTCAACTCCCTCTCGAATGACATGCATCAAAAGCCCATTTAATCAAAAAAATCTGCATGGGAGATAATAAGTGTATCTTTAATATGTTCCATAAAAGGAGCCACAAAACCTATAAACCAACTAATCACAATCAAACCATAGACTTTGACACCCTTTGTTTGATAAGTGAAACATTGAGAGAACAATTCATACGCAAAATACTAGTAGATATAAATACTTCAAATTGTGTTGATCCACACAAAGACATAAAAAATATCAAAAAGTGCAATACATGTTTAAAAAGATTGTTTCCAATCATTAAAGAAAGATTAATGGTGAATTTAACGCTTAGGACCTACTTCGGACTTTGTGATTCTTTTATAGAACATGACTCCATAACTTCACGAGGTGCAACGAATAAAAAGGCTTAGCAAAAGATTTGCTCTTAATGACCTACAGGTAATAAAGTTCATCTTACAAATAGTTAATACAACCATGTTACTCATCATGTCATGTGGAAATCATATTTATTCATCAATACAATTAAAATGAGTAAAATCACTCCTAAATATTATAAAGGCTATGCATTTACACAAACTAATCTTCATCTTCTATATAAAAGAATCTTCTAATATACTCAATAAAAAACCAAAGGACACTAATGGAAACATTCCCCGCAAAGAATGATATCTAAATGCTTTAAGTTGTTGATCTTTTTATTTATAAGCCATCAATTACACTTTTCTTCTCGAAGATGATGAAAGTATCATTAAAGAGCGCATTGATCATATTGGTAATGATGAACATTGCATCGATTGTGTTGGGCTTAATTAGCGATGCATCAACATGGTCATATTTTAATTCGACTACTATACCATTTCCATATTGATATTTTAAAATTGA